GTCAAGCACCAGCTATATCATATATTTACTATAACAATTGAGTCCTTATTGCCTATACATCCAAAATATTTGTTTGTAATAGAAGCGAGGCTTTTTGACCAATACAATGCAACAACACAAACATTTTATCGGTTTAACTTTTTTTTGACAAACTATTTATCAATTTAATGCGAGTAAAACATACATCAGGAATGTGCATGTTCCATGTTGATCTGTGCAAAAGTTAGCACAATATAAGTCGTGCATTCTAGCAATGTGCGTTCAAGTTGCGCACAACCCCCATACGCGTCTTATGGAGCGCGACATATCATAGATGAGTTTTGGCTTGTGCATAAGTCATGTATGAGGGTGATGCGCAACTTGAACACGGACACTCTTATACCCGTTTTACTAGCATTAGATTGATAAATAATTTGTTAAAATAATTTTGGGGAATATGTCTCAGATTTTGCATTACATGGGTCAAAAAGCCTAGAAGCAAAAATGAAGGTGGAGATAGAGGTAACATGAATAAAAATTGCAGAAAAGCCCTTTAATTTTATTTTTTTTATTTTTTGAACTATCTTTTGTCGATTTGTTTATCCTACTATAAGCATATATAGCTTACAATAGAGGTTACGGGTGAATGAGACTACTTTAAACAAGGGCTAATGAGGTAGGTTAATTATGAGAAGGATGCCAAAAGAAACAAATACTTATATGAACAAGCACATGTTTACCTGTGCTAGGCCAGAACTTTGAAACACGGAGCCATGAAGCTGGGAAGGCTGCATATTCCCTGGAGTATGGTTTTGTCCATGCATCTCCCATGAGCAGTGATGGTGGATGAGGGGCTCCCTGCACAACATTTTATACAATCACTCAAAAAGTATTTAAAACTAGTATGAAATTGTAAATAAAATATGCACTCTATGGTGTATATTATTAAATAATCAAACTAAAACAAGTATTTTTCTTCTTACTAATATCTCATAAATGAATAACAGTGTCACATAGTGATCAAAAGAACAAAAAAATTCTTTTACCTTAAGAATTAATCACAACATGAATAACGCGGCAGGTTAATTCAGAAACAACTGCAATCATTCAATGGACCTACCTTAAAGCCTCTTAAGTCGACAATGAATTCATGAGCTACTGTTCCATTGACTCCACGAAAAAGAACCGGGTAATAGTTCAGTAGAAGTCAAAAGTATAAGTAAAACTAAGGTTCAGACACAGAAATAAAGTAGCATGCCAGTAACTAGAAAAAGAAAAAGTTATATAAGGGTAAGAAATACACGTAATCTATGACAAAGCACAAACCTCCAATCGTTTTGCCATGTTGTTTGCATTCAAAATGGCTATCTTTGATGCATCGGTGAGTCCTTTAGAACCCATCATGGCTATGTAAGTGTAAGAGATTGGTAATATGAGTGCTGAGCCCCAAGGTACAGCAGAGATTGTACCAAGTGGTTGTGACTTGTCAGGGGCAGGAATTCCACCAGTGGGTACCTTCATTATGGCAGCATATAATTAAATACAAAGAAAACATAAAAATGCTATTGAACAAACAAATGTTTACCTTTACAATGTCATCCAATCTTGAGGATCATCTTATTTTTAAGGTAGAAGCTACTTATAAGTTAAAGTTAAAAAAAAAGAGCTTAAAAAAAAAACTAAAAGTTATTTGGTAATTACATAAAACTTTTAGCTTAAAAGTTATTTAAAAGTACATATTTCAAGAAAATTATCTCTCTCTATCTTTATAGCTCTTCGTTTAAAAAAAAAGCACACAATTTAAGAAAAAAAGATAAGAGTTTAAGAAAAAGCTCCTATGAGGAGCTTTTAGCTTTTTTCTTCATTTAAAAAAAAAGTTTTTCATTATAAGAGATTTTTTCAAAACCTATTTGGCCTAGCTTATACATATAAGTAGCTTCTACCTTAAAAAAAAGAGGATGCAAACAGTCATGTAATGTCATTGTCATCCATAGCAGGGAGAAAAGTGCTTACCACAGGGTGTGAAGGTAAAAATGGTGCCAAGTGTTTCTTTACACCAATAGGACCCATGCCAGGGCCACCTCCTCCATGAGGGATGCAAAACGTCTTATGGAGATTGAGATGGCAAACATCTGCTCCAATCCAACCAGGGCTTGTAAGTCCCACCTGAACACAAGAACCGAATGTCCAAATTAGGCACAAATTGTTGAACTCTGGACCAATATTAATATGTAGAAATGTAGCAACAAAAGCATCACTGAAGATTTTGTTGCTTGAACTATATGTCTTTCAAAATATCATCCTGGACTACTATATACTACAAGAACTATCCCTGCCAGACTCTTGGCACAACACAAAGTACATGAAGGTAAAGAGATATGCAAGGAAAAACAAACCTGTGCATTCATGTTGGCACCATCCATATATACTTGGCCTCCATTATCATGAATAATCTTGCAAATCTCATCAATACCTTCTTCATAAACACCGTGGGTTGAAGGATATGTTACCTACAAATTTAAATCAAAACCAAACTAATATAAAAAAAATGCCCAAGTTTGACAATACTCTCAATTAGCTGGTATAAACATCAATAATATAAGTAAGATTCTATAGGAAGTAAGTTGTACCATAAGTGCAGATAAGTTTTTCTTATGTGTTTCAGCAGCCTTCCTTAACTCTTCAATGTTAATGTTTCCTTTCGCATCAGTTCCTACAGAGACAATTTTCATTCCACACATAGCAGCACTAGCAGGATTTGTGCCATGTGCTGAGACAGGTATAATGCAAACATTACGATGATGGTCACCTCTTGCCTACAGTTTCCAAAAGCCAAAAGAAGTAAGAAGCATCATAGGAATTAAAGAATATTTATCACAGGCTGTAGTATAAGAAAATCATTGCATCTATTTTAGATATGTAGAAAGAGAAAATGACACAAATGAGGTTCTCTATTATTGGCTGAAATGAAAAAATACTATGTTAAATAACAACAGAAAAACTTCTATATCCTAAAAGTAAATCAGAAGAATGCCCTGATAAATTAAGAAAAACCATCCTTCCCCAATAACTAATATTGTCCATAAACTTTAAGCAAACATATTCATAATGATCCAAGTTACCATACCAAATGATATGCACGAATAACCATCAGTCCAGCATATTCTCCAGCAGCACCAGCATTTGGTTGCAAAGAGAAGGAGTCAAACCCAGTGATGGTACACAACAGATCTCCCAAATTGTTGAACATTTCCTGATACCAGATTTGCTTGTTTAGACACAGAAAACACAACTTTTATCCCATATTTTCAGGTACAAAAGCATATATATGAATCTCTTTATATCATTATTGTTGTAAGATTATTTAACTATCCAACTACCTGATAACCTTGAGCCTGTTCAGTTGCTGCAAAAGGGTGAATATCAGTAAAGCTGGGCCATGTCACAGGCATCATTTCAGTTGTTGCATTCAGCTTCATTGTACAAGATCCCAGTGGGATCACCACCATCATCGCAACCACTGCCGCCACCATCGCCATCACCACCACTACCACCACCACAACGGCACCGCTACCATCACCACCACTAACACCAACCACCTCTATCATTGCCGCAGCCACCACCGACACCGCTACCGCTGCAGCCACTGCCACCACCACCACCACCTCCATAATGTCATCACAACCACCACCACCAAGTCACCGCTACCATTGTCGCTGCCACCAACCACCATCCCCACCACCATTGTCGTAGCCATTGCTGTCACCTCCACCACCACCATCCCCACCACTATCACCGCCGCCGCCACCATTACCATCGCTGCAGTCACTGCCGTCACAACCACCACCACTATCATCACCACGTCACTGCCGCCACCACCGTCGTACCGCCACCCCCCGCCACCGCCACCACCACCTCCACACCATATGAAAAGGAAAGTGATGATCCAAAAAAATTTTATATTTAATAGGAATTATTTTTTATTATATTATTTTCCATGTTATCAAACGCAATTCTCATTCCCGGAAAAAAAATAGAACATGTTATCAAACACATTTTTTTTTCTCAGAAACTGTTCCAAGGAACAGAAATAGAAAAGAATTGTTTCTTTTTAGAAACAGTGCTAGGGAATAGAATGATTGTCATGCACACCCTATATGAACAGAAAGTGGGGTTGAAAAATTAAAAAATTAGAGTGATAAGACTATTATAACCCTGAAATAAATTAAAATTACAAAAATACCATGATTTCCGTCCCAAAACGACGTCGTTTTGATGAACATTAGATAAAGTTATCTAAAGTAACATCAGAAAAAACAAACCCTAATACATATAATTTTACTTAAAATGACATAAATTTGTATTATTTTAAAATAATAAATATTTTTTTCAAAAACTAAATAACATTAGAATTCTTTCAGCTTTTCAATTCAGTAATCAAATCTGAAATTTTATGGAAGCGTTTTTGATCCTATCCATTGAGCCATCACTTATTTGCAAGAAGACCTTGCTAATGTCATTAGATTCCACACTTTCTTTTTTTTAATAATATTCCAATTAATAAGTTGCAAGAATACCTATTTGGATTGATACGACAGGATTCAATTTGTTTATAATGATAATTATGTAAGTAAGCTTAAATTGATAAATAAATGAGGTTGAATATTAATTTTATAACTGCGGGTCAATAAACATGCAATATTAAAGAACTTTTTAGGATATTTTATCTCTGTTTTATAACTATGATTGTCATGGCAACAAACTTTGTGTAAAGAACCTTGGGATACATCACTCCAAAAGTTAGCTCAAAGAGTGGAAGTGCCCAAGGCCTTATATAAAGGCCATATTAGTTGCCCACACAATCTATGTGAGACTATATATCTCAACACGCCCCCTCACGCAAGAGCCCTTTGGGCTAGAAGCGTGGAATTGCAAGTAAGAATGGTGAATGGATATGGTTATTTTCTACAGTCAAGGGGATCAATCTTCAATTCACAGAATGGCTAAAGCTTGGAAATCCTCTATCTTCGTGCATTGGCCCACTGCCTATTGTGATTCCCAGGTTTGAAATGTGAATTTCGTTGGCCACCCCCTTGCTTGGGGAGATCATTTATTTCCAGAACTTGTATTGTCCTCTGCCTCTTAGCATTTTCAACTTGTTGATAACGCTCATGAAGTTTCCTCTTAGTGGCCTCTAGCTTTACTTGGACTGCAACTTCATCTGAAAACTTGGATTTATCTTTCTGAATCATGGGAGGCTTCTTTGGGATTGTATTGTTCTCTATTTTTGGCTGCATCTTTGGCTCCATATTGCTTTTTCGCTGCATAGTTGATTTTGGGGGTCTGACAGGGCCATTATCAGCAGTTTCTGGTTTATTTACCCTCACAGCAACCTCATTTTTCCTTGGTTGCTGACTCTTACTGTCCTTGGCAGTGATGGATGGCTCAATGGAAGCCTCAAATTTCCTACTTTCTACAACTTGAGTGTCCAAAGCTGGCTTTCTCCCATTTTCACAGTTTCTGTTGTATTGTCCACTCTGTCGAGGATTTCCATAATCATCCATGCCACCGATTTTGGGGGTGTGAAAGGATGGATCTGGCAGTATCTGGGGATCATGAAGAGGTTGATGATCATAGGGGTTTCAAGAGGGGTTTTAAGAGAGATGGGCTTGCCCTTAAAGCAGGGGCAAGTGAAGAGAGCAAGGTCAACAGCAGCAGAGATGGCTGTGGAGAGATGCATGTGAATCATGTTAGCAATTATAGCTTTGGGGAAGCTGAGGCATTAACTGATGAGATTGAAGAAGAGTTTCAGCATGTTGGGGAGGTTTTGAGGAACCGAAACGTTCTTCTTAACTTTAAAGAAGAGTCTGACTCTGTGTTATTTGAGTCATTGAGTTGGCTCCAGCTGATGGAACTCACTGTGGATCTTCTAGAGGCAACTGAGATTGGAAAGGCTGTCAATCCTCTCCGAAAGCATGGATCAAAGGATATTAGTCAACTCGCACGGACTGTTTCCAGCAATCAATAAGAGTATTGCTGGAAAGAAATGGTGGGCCTGCGTAAATAGGTAAAAAGAGATTAGGTCATACCTGTAGCGTTTAGCTCCTATTTATAATGCTTACCTGTGGGCCTGTGCTGATCATGAGCCTTACTGACCATGGGCCTCATTCTGGTCCATAACAACAATGAATTTTATATGCCAAAGTCAAGTAATTAAAAGTTCTCTAATCAAATCAAATTATTGGCGTTACAAAAACACAAGCTTCTAAAAATTTCTCAAATGCTAGGAGGGAACCTCGTTCTACCACATAATAATGCGTTTTCTCCATTGTTGTAATGAGTTACATAACATAATTTGATTTTGAAATCGTTCTGCTATTTGAATACAATTGATCTCTCCAAAAAGACCTTCATATATATAACAAAATCTTGCCTATCTCTCACTACCAAAATGTAATGCAATCACAGACCAAACACAAACTAATCCAGATTGCAACTATGAAAAGGTTAGTATATAGCTTACTGAGAGTGTAAGCTGAAACCTATCACCATTCTCTTATGTTTTATTAAGTAGAGAGGCAAGATTACGATGTTCCTCAAATGCGTGCATCGTTTCTGCATCAAATCCTCCTGCAAACTGCATTGAGAAATAAATAAACATTACCTCTTATCACATTTTCAAGAGTCACTCACTTTAACATGCGTTATGTTACTATTATGCAGTTTTATTTGGAAAAATAAAATAATGATTCTAGAAAAAGTTTGGTAGAAAATTTGCTTTAAGCCCTTTTTCTCTTTCTGTGTACTGCTAATCCTAGAGTGAATAAACATGAATTTTACTTTACTTTGTAGGTGTAACTTAAATATTGGACAAAGATGCAGAAGTATATTACAGGATAGGGGTGTCAATTTTTGATACCACACGTTGACACTACACGAAAATTCATGTTTGAGTTGACGACCCATATTAAAATTTGCGTAGTCTTCGTGTTGGGAAAACATGACATCCAAAAATTCGTGTCATTCCGCGTGTCATGTTATGTCAACACGAATTCAACCCATATTTTTTTTTTGTAAATTTGATCCATTTTTAAATTTTTTTTTGGTCAATTGCTGTTTTCATCCATAGTTTGCATGTTATTCGTGTAGTGTCGTGTCGTGTCAACTCGCAAAATTTGCAGGTCGTGTTCGTGTCAAAGATTCGGACACAAATAAAAATTCATGTCGTGTTCGTATTACGTGTATTCGTGTCGTATTGAGTGGTTTTGACACCCTTATTACAGGACATACCTGGTGGATTCTAAAAGCAAATCTCACTCCTTGGAGAAGCATGTAATCCATTGCAGGATCTTTATCTAATGTTGACTTTGCTTGAAGTTCCATAGCTACCTTTTTCATATACTTTTTGGCCAATTTAACTGAACCTAGCTTTATCTGCAAAAAGTAGTTGTTGAATCAAATCTTATGTGAAGATATATTAATGCTATAAAGAAGCAATATCAGATAGAACACCATCAGAATATTACGCAACTATCTTGCCAGAAGGATGATTGTTAACAAAGACCTATTCGCCAGCCAAAGCCTTAATTTAGGGGCCAGCACATCAATAAGTAACATGCTTATTTTCTTATCAACTCTTCGGGGAACAGTTTACAAAATCCAAAAGAAACATATACTAATAATTTTTTTGGGAGAAGCATTTGCTCATACTTGTTATGCAAAGCCCTTCACAAAGTGACAATTATAGGATTTGAATTAGCACTAATATATATTATGCTCTTGTAATGGAACTAGTATAATCTCTTGCAGATACTTATCATTTACATTTTGTAAGGATTGATGCATAGTATGGTTTACCTTGCCGATAATTCCATTATCAAGCATCCATTCTATGGGAATTTGAAACTGCTTGCAGTTACGCATTAAAGACTCTCTCGTGCGAAGAAGGTTATAAACTGTACGCTCCATCCTGACAGTGAAACATAAGCATAAGTAAGTGTCTAGCAAAACAGACTAAATTTAGAACCTCAAAGTGACACAGAGCATTTTGTTTGATATTTGAGTAGCTCACTTTTCTGATAATGCAACCATTTTCTTTAGAGCAATATCACAAGGTAGCCGAGGATCATCCTTGTAGGAGGAAACTTCAGATTCCAATTTTTTCAAATCTTGATACCCAAATGCTGCTTCTCTTAATGTGTCAGCTTTCTTCTCTGGCCAATCAAAATGCTTCAGGACAGCCCTCTCATCCACCTTTGAATATGCACAATCATAATTATATCATATGACAAAAATATGCATAGTATTCATAAATTTTCAAAGAAATAACAGAAATTAATCTGCTATGGATCCCTTTAACAATAACAACTGTATATTTAAATTTTGTGAAGGATTACTTAGACCTATTTACTATTGCTCAAAGTAGCAATGTTTATACCTTAATTTGTCCATATAGCATAATTTCAAGCTACATAGGTCATAAGAAAAAGGCAACTTACAAGGAAGCAGAGTTCGTCATCCAGCCACTTCACAAATGCCACTACATCTTCTATGTTCTGATAAACTGCATTGTTCACCTCTCTAATCAGTGAATTCACAAATTCTCCCTGAGTCTAAATATCTGCCTTTATCTACATATCAAGGGATAGTTATTAGCAATATAAGATACAAAATAAGATACAAAAGACTTTGAGATGGCTTGATAATTCTGCTGAAAACTACTCACAGCAAGCAAATGTGAAGAACGATTTTCGATTTCTCCAATCATGCTGCTACGAACATCTGCAACATCTTGTGCATCAGAGAGTCCTCCATTTGTAGAATCCTTTCTAGAATCTCTCTTCATAAGTGAATGGTACAATTCCACCACTTGCGGGGCTCGTTTCACCGTGGCTGTGCTACTTCTTGATGCAAAATTCATAGGAGGTGGTGGTGGCGGTGGAGGTGGAGGGGGTGGAACTTGAGCTGAACTTTCCTGTTTTATTTTGCTAGAAATAGAACATGAAGGCCTAGGGGGAGGATTAGGAATACGTAAGGCCCTCTTCTCAACATCAAAAGAAACCAAAAGTTTGTTAGCTTCTTGGCAATTGCTAAAATATTGTGGTCTTTGGACAATCTCCAAACCAGATTGTTGAACAGATAATGGTACTGATTCCTTTTCCATTTCTTTTGAACATACAAAACAATCAGACTGTCTTCTCTTACTCAGGGCAACCCCTTCCTCTAAGCAGTTGGATCCACTGATAGAGTGTCTTCTTCTGGGGCTTCCCCCTATCTCTGATTCAATCCAAATTTTCTCAATGAGATTATCTGGACATTCTACTTGTGACAAATGATCACTAGTTATGGGCCACTTTTTTGGCTTCTTCATCAAACTAAACCTATTTGCACTAGTACAGTTTAAGTACTGATTGCTTTGATCAGAGAAAGAACTAACACAATCTCCACTATTACAGACATCAAAGTGAGGACTTGATGGCTTATCAGAATCCAATGCTGAGCATGTATTCTTCAACTCGTTTCTTAAACATGAATTCACCCACCTCAAGTAGGCAAGCTCCTCAACCTCATTTAATCTGCTCATCTGTAAACCTTCTACCTGTTTGCTCAGGTCTTCATTTGTGAGCCTGAGCAATGATGCCTCGGCTTTAATTTTGGCAACAATGTCACTCTGATCAGAAAGGACAGTAAGGTGGGGAAAACAAAAGGGTAAATCAGCAAAACTAAAGTAAAGCTCACCCTTACGATTTTAGAAAATTATTGGTGAAACTAGAACATAAAAGGGTAAATATAAACAACTAGCAAAACATACAATACATCAAAAATTAAGAAGAACAAATTCTAAGAAGAGAAAAATATCCAACTAAAACAAATCAATGAGACAAAAGAAATTTGGAATCTCAAATGAAAGAATTTCTCCATCAGTTAGGTAGTTAAGATTGATTAAGTAATTTAAATTCATATTAATTAACCCCCCTTCCTCTCTTCCTCTAATTTGTACATTCACTTGTTCATATTACATCTATGGGAAGGGTTAGTTTACAACTTTTTTTGTTTACAACTTCAATTATGTATTCCGGAGAACACACTCAACTAAGTATATAGTTGATGTTGTAAGAGTTGTAAATAAAAAAAAGTTATAAAAATAACCTCACCCTACATCTATAATTATAATCCATTTCAACCTAACACCCCAAATGAAAACAGAAAAGAAATTGTGTCTCATAAAAATGAGTCAACCAAATTGAGAAAAATTACCTCTGAAGATTTGGCAGGACAAGACGACTGAGACTCCGTAGAAGACAGTCTGCAAGTGAGGTTCCTCTTCTGCATCTGGAGCTCCTTATTCAGCCTTCTCAATTCAACAACTTCCAGCTCAAGATTCTGCACTGAACTATCCTTATGTTCCCCTTTGAGTGCCACCTCTTGTCTCTCCGAGACACAGGTCAATGCAGCCAATTGCTCAGAGAGGGTGGTTTTCTCTTCTTCTAACAAAGCAACCCTCTTCACAAGCTCATCAACCTCACCCTGGTTCCTCCTACACTCTGCCAACTCAGCATGAAGC